CCAACCTCCTGCGGCTGGACAACCTCCTGCAGCCCTGCCCCCTGGCTGAGCCACAGACTCTCAAGGCCCCTCATGCAGCACCGCCCCCCCCTCCGAAATTTGCCTCCATAGGTACCAACTGGGGTGGGTGGGCTGGCTGGCCAATGTACCACAGCCCCTTCCCCAGGCCTGCCTGTCCCAATCGGCCCTGATGAGGCAGCTCCTCCCCTTGGCCAGCCCTCCCAATCTGGACCAATCGGGGAGGGCTATCCAGTCACCCTTCCATGGTCCCTCCCCCTGGCCGACCTGCCCCAATTGGCCCCAGGTCCCAATCAGGGTGGGAGACAGCCCCAATTGGTCCAGATTACTGGCCAAACTGAGGGACCTCACCTGTGCACAAATTCATGCACCAGGCCTCTAGTTAAAGATATGTCATCCCTATTAGCTGGCTCTCTTTCTCAGACCTTGGTTTATACTGTGTGTTTTTTTAAATTACTCATCTTTAACCATTGCCTGTTTAACATTTGGTATGTTTCATATCCTCCCATTTAGAAGCCCTAAAGCTACAACTGGTCCTCCACATGGAAAAGCAAATGGAAGCGGCTATATCCATCTTCTGTGGACCCTTATATCACCCACTTCTGAAGGGTACCCTGACTGCTGCCCCAAACTACGACCCCTTTGCCAGCAAGCAGCAGCCAGAAAGACTCGGCATTCCCTGTCCCCATCAGCAGTTGGAGTTTCCTAATCAGAGGGGGGACTGAAACAGGAATTTTAGGTGAATATAGGCAGACTTAGGGAATTTTTAGAATTGGGGTCCATGGAGAAACACAACTACAGACTGAGAGAAGCTATATCTCCATAACATAAGGAAGCCAGGTGCAGTTAATTTCCATAACATAAGGGAGTAGCAACAAATACATTTCCATAAGTCAAGGGAACTGGAATAGCCCAAAAGGAATATATTTACAAAATAGAGGAAGAAATCCTGGAGGGAATAGGAGGACAATGAGGGAGGAGAGCCTCAGGAGTTTTTATAGTAACCAGTTTGAAAGGGGATATTGACCAGAGGGGATATCAGAACACAGGAACTTTATAAACCTTGGAAACAGGTAGTCCATGGGACTCTTTCCCTCTCCCCATATGGGAGTCTGTACCTGTTCTTCAATAAATCTCCATCTTTGCTATATTACTCTCTGTTTGTGAATTAATTCCTTGACTCCAACGGACAAAGAATCAGGGTTCCAGTCCAAAAATTCCGTTTCACCACCCTGGTCGAGGTGTGTTCAGGAGTGTGAAAGAAATGAGCCACATGCTAACCTGACAAGCTCAGGAAAAGCCTGCCTGGCAGTCTTGCAAATCCAGAGACCTAAGATTGAGAGGGCAGGGCGGGGCGAGGATGAGCTCCCAACTCCGCCCTACAGGGCGGAGTTATCCCTAGCCCTCACCCAACCAATCAGGGTTAGCAGAGGCAGTGACATCACCACCGACCGGAGTAAAACCCCTGGACTGGGAGAAGTTCACTCTCTTCCGCCATGCTGCCAGCATGGGTGGGAGGAGCCCATGCTAGCATGGTACAGGCTCTTTTGTTTATTGCATCGGACTCGGCTCCCTGGTGGTCCTTGGGGATCACGAAATCTGGGCGTAACAAAGATAACCACAAAAGATGGTTTGAAAATTAAATATCTAACAGGTTATAGTAGGTAGTCATGTCCCAGATATTTTCCCAGACAAATCAACTTTTATCTTTTTACTGAGCCCATTTGCCTTTTTGCCTCTAAGATAACATATCTATGAGATGTCTGGGTAACTTGTAACTTCCCTTTTTTCGGAGCTCCTGGGGCACAACCAAATGTGGTGAGCGCCAGGACAGATGCCTGAAGTTTCTTCCTTATCATGTTAATTGTTCCTGCACTCACCTGAGTACATGTTCATCATTTTACTTTTTATCCAATCCTAAGAGTTTCCCACCGCTTTGCTTTCTCCCGCCTCCTTACTCCATCACCAATGAATTTCATGTAACCCACCTTTGATTTCAATGTATAAATAGAGGAATGTAACCTGCCATTCTTTGGAGCATTATCTCAATCCGTTGAGGTTCTCCTTCCCAGCATATGTCGACAGTAAGGCTCAAATAAACTCACAAAATTTTTTTTACAGGTTTCAATGTTTGTTTGTTTTTTGTTAACAGGAGGCAATGTGTCTCACATTGATGTTTCTCTAGTCCCACACTTTCACCCCTCCCTTTCTCTCTAAAAATCAATGAAAAAAAATATCCTGGGGTGAGGATTAATAAAACTAAATAAGATAAAGAGGAGGAAGGGATAGCTTCAAAATGGACAGCAGTCTCACAACCAATGGACATAAAACTCTGGGGAGGGAGGGTATGTATGGGAGGGAAAGAGGGGGGGGAAATCAATAAAAAATATTAAAAAAAAAAAAAAAAAGCAAGCAGAATCTTAATACCCCATTGTCAGGCTCCTTGGGAGGCCTTTGTAGACTGGGTGAAATTGCTATAGGCATACTTGAATGCTAAGGATGATTTTTCTATTTAATCACACAATCATCACAGAACTCCCAAAGGCAAAGTATATTAGTAAGCAAGTCAGAAAAGTTGGAGAACTTTTTCTCACAAATGAACTGGAGATCATATTGCCTACTGCATAATAACTAACACTCTGTAGTTCAAACAGTTTTGCAAATATTTCCTATTGTTGTGGCTCACCTAGGCAAACTCAGCAACTTTTTTGCCTATTGTAATGGGATCATAACAATAAAAATGATCAATCCCCTGGGGAAAAAAAAAATGGACAGCAGTCTCAAGGTCAAGGGTGGCAATTTCTGCTGCAAGGAAGAGTCAACTTCATGTCTGCAGCACGGGACAGGAAGCCCAGCAAGTGAGCAGCATCAAGAAATAGGTGCTGATTAATGACTGGGAGACCTAGGAAAGGGTGTTAACGAAAAAACAAACAAAAAACCATTGAAACCTGTAAAGAATTTTTGTGAGTTTATTTGAGCCAAACTGTGGACATATGCCAGGAAGCAGAACCTCAGCGGATTGAGATAATGCTCTGGAGAATGGCGGGTTACGTTTCTATATTTATACATTGCAATCAAAGGAAAGGGACATAGGTGAGTTACATGAAATTAATTGGTGATAGATTAGGGAGGTGGGACAGAGCAAAGTGGGGAAACCTCTGTGATAGGGTAAAAGGTGAAATGATGGACTTGAGCTTCTTTTACAGAGATGGATACAGGATACTTTAAAGTAAATAACAGTTGACAATTAACTTGATAACAATAACAATGAGGGAATGTCTCCAGGCCATTTGTTGTGCCCTGAGGGGGTCTGGGGTAAAAAGGAAGTTACAAGTTACCCAGACATTTCTCAGATATGTTATCTTAGATGCAGGAAGGCAAAAGGGGTCAGTAAAGGTAGATCAAAGTTGATCTTTGTCAGGTGAAATATCTGGGACATGATTACCTACTGTGTTTCCCCGAAAATAAGACATCCTCCGAAAATAAGACCTACTTACAGGTTTCCTTCTGAGTGAAATATAAGGCATCCCCCCAAAAATAAGGCCCCCCCTAGGCTAAACATGAGAGATTTGGTCCACTGATTCTGAAAGAAATGGAGTCACAAGAAATTCACCAGGAAATTTAGGAATTGGATTGTTATGATGATGTTCCAGAAGATGATTGAAATATAGTGGCAACCATACTTTGGTAAAAACTGCTGTTTGAATTTTAACCCTGCTAAGTCTGGCTCCTGCCTAATTAAACACGAAATACTTACCTGAGCTTCCAGGTGGAGACCTGGAGGCTAAGGCAATTTTCCCTTGCCTGGGACCAGGACCACAGGAGATTGATTCCCACTGACTCAGTAGCTTCAGGGATAGAAACTGTAGATAACCTTTAGAGACTAACTGCTGAGCTCTGCTTCTTTGTTATTGCTATCACAAGATAGGGCCACATCCCAATGTCCAGCAGGATGTGACTAGGAACCAACCCTGCGGGCTGTCCCCATCTTTAGAATTTAGTTTTTTAGGATTTAGGAACAAAAAGAAAATCCTTGCAGTTTAAACCTTTAAAAGGAATTGCCTACCCTTCAAACGGTGCAGTCTGCAGTTGTGTGAGACCACCTGCGTGTGGTGCTCTCGCAGCTGTCCTGGCCAGATATTTCAATAAATTCTTGCCTGCTTTTTTTTTTTTAATTAATTAATCAGCCTCTGGTGGTCTTATTTTGAACCCAGAGTTCGACTCCACAACAATGATGACATGATTGTCATTGAATAAATGAGTAAATTCTTGATACTGTAGGATTCACAGTTTGTCTGGTTTGTGTTGACAACTACCGTACTACCGTATTGTATACAGGTAATAAATTTCCTTTATTTTCATTTAACAGTAAATGTTTACCATATTCTTCTTCATGGAAAAATAAGACATCCCCTGAAAATAAGACCTAGCACATCTTTGGGAGCAAATATAAGACACTGTCTTATTTTCGGGGAAACAGGGTACTACAACCTGTTAGATATTTAGTTTTCAAACCATCTTTTGTGGTTATCTTAGGTCTCTGGGTATGCAAGACTGCCACGCAGGCATTCCCTGAACTTGTCAGGTTAGCATGTGGCTCTTTTCTTTCACAGGGTTAACATGGGATCATATGGCAAGCTTTATAAAACAGGGGCAATGGGATCTCTGGGTTAAGGAGTCATATTGGCATGGATTCCCAGAGATCAATTCAAAGAAAGGGTGAATGAATTTGGTGAACTGAACAGTAAGAAAGTCTGGTGTTTCAAGGATGACGAAAGGATTAGTCTCCCAGCATGAGAAATCAGAAAAGGAAGAATGGGGGACTGGAGCTAGGTACATGAGGAAAACACCAGGTAGGTCAGGCAGGCATGGCAGAAAGGGCCAGAAAACTCTGGAGGAAGATGGCATCATCAAAGAGTGGGCCACAATTCTGGGGAAAGACAGGAGGGAAGGCTATGAGGCTTCAAGGAATCTGGCTAGACTCCTAAAGGAATCAATGTGGGCTCTGTGGGGTAAGTGGAAGAGGGGATAGTCTGATAAGGGATCAAGTAGGAGGACAAAGGTAGATGACATAGTGAGTCAATCCCTGCTCCTAGGAGGCCAGGAGCTGGAGGTATGATGGTGGTGGTAAAACACGTGTGCTCTGGGTCTTGGTCTGAGGGTGTTGGTGGATGGAAATGGGGCCTTGGTACTGCCTTTAGGTTCCGGGGATGGGGACTCAAGTTTTGGAGTTCTGAGAAGACCATCTGAGCCACTGCATGATACAGGAAACTATATTGCTCCTGACAGAGGAAGATGAATCATTGAGAAAGGAAGATGAGAAGGAAAAGCCTGAGCTTGCACCTACCCTGTCTGCACAACTACAGGCTGCTGCTACCACACTGGGAGGACTAGGTCTAAGAGGCTGAAGTTAGGTGGGAGCCTCAGGGCCAGAGAGATGAGACCCAAAAGCAGGCTCTCAGGGGCAGGAGAGTGCACTGTACAGGCATATACATGTGCCCTCTTTATACCTGGGTCAGAAGCAACTGTTTCACATAATCCATGGTACACAGGACACCTGTTAATCCACAGCACATGCTAAAATATGAGAATCAGAGCTCAGTTAAGGCATTCCCACAACCCTTTTTAAGTAGGCATTTGGAATTGGGGGCCTTTTGATTCCAAGAATCCCCAGATTTTAGTTTAAGAGAAGAAAATGTTTGCCTTGCTGGTGTGGCTCATTGAGTGTTGACCTATCAACCAGGAGATCACGGTTTGATTCCCAGTCAGGGCACATGCCCAGATTGTAGGCTCGATCCCCAATGATTCTCTCTCATCATTAATGTTTCTCTCTCCCTCTCCCTTCCTCTCTGAAATAAAAATATATTTAAAAATAAGACAACTTTTTATTTTTTACTTTTCCCCCTCTTTTTTTTATTTTTATATGACAACTTTTAATTGCTTACATTAGTTGAGCATCAACTGTGAGTTTACTGCCCAGTAAGCAGTTGACCTTCAATAAATGCTAATAATTTCAGTTGATACAATATGGACAACTGTGGTCTCAGGTTACTCAAAATAGGCATTCAAACTGCAAGACTCTCTCCAAGCCTCCTTTTCCCATTCCCAGTCCCCTATGTCCCACCATATCCCAATTTCCTTAACCTTCAGTGGACACAGGGGACTGGGGCCAGATCCCTGGAGGTAACAGGATCCTCTACCATGGCAAAAATGTAGTCTGGATAGCTGTGGACCCCTCTGTCTGGCCAGGACACATACTGCAGCTGGTATACAGAATGAGATATTTAAAACAGAAAAGTGGGGCAAAGAATTTTTTAAAATATATTTTTTTATTGATTTCAGAGAGGAAGGAAGAGGGAGACAGAGAGAGAAATATCCATAATGAGAATCATGAATTGGTTGTCTCCTGCAAGTCCCCCACTGGGGATCAAGCCCACAACCTGGGCATGTGTCCTTGATCAGAATAGACCTGGGACCTTTCAGTTCGCAGGCTAACGCTCTATCCACTGAGCCAAACCAGCTAGGGCAGGGCAAATAATTTTAAAAAGAAAGCATTTATTGGGCACCTACTACATGTCAAAGCCAGTTGCTTCCATTTAAACCCTACAGATAACAACTTAAGAGATGCATATTACTGTTAATGCCCATTTTACAGATGAGAAAATAGACAGGAAACAACTCTCCCCATGTGGGAGCCTCTTCCTCCCCTTTTAGTACCTTCTGGAAGGTGATCTGGAGGGTCCTGAACATAGCTACATTCAGCCACGTCTCTCTCATCTGAGGATGTGGGCAGGTGGAAAGAGGGAGGAGACCAAAGATCATGTGTGCCAAAAGACACATTTACAGAAAACAACACGGAGATGTGGTTAGTGACTGGCCGCCAAGGGTTGGGGCAAAGCATGGGCCTCTGGGCTGTCCAGCAGCACCACACAGAGCTGAGCAGGCAGAACTCTCTCTCCTGTCCGGCTTCACAGATCAGCTCTTGTGCGTACCCATGGGGAGCCAGATGGGCCCTTGCAGTCCTGGCAGCTGTGGCCTGGCTCCTTGCGGGTGCCCCGGCACCTGTGTGCGGGTGGCTTTCCCAGTGCACAAGCCCTGGCATCCTGGGGGAGGATAGCAGGGGGAGTGAGAGCAAGCTCAGCAGACACCCTGCATTCTCACCAAACCTCCCTTCCCAGGTAGTTGGCAAGAGGTTGCAGCCCCCGACCCAGGCACTGCAGGAGGTTGGTCACTGCCACCCACCTTCAGTTCCCCATCACAGCCTGGGGCCCGGCTCTGATTAGAGCCTACTAGCTGCTCGTTGCTGTACGATCAGTCCATCAGTCGAGGTTGGGCCCCCCTCCCAGCTCCCTCAGCACCTGTGAGCCAGGCAATGGTCCTGCCCCCCTGCCACTACCGCAGGTCACTGACTGATGTGATTGGGTGCCTGCTTGCACCTGCCTGGGCCTGGTGCTGCCCACTCACCTGCTCCACCATCTCAACATGGTCCTGCTCTCATCAGGGCCCACTGGGGCCAGCAGACTACCAGTGCCGACTGCTGATACCTGCCATTTCTGCACCACCCCCTGGTGGTCAGCACATGTCATAGCAAGCAGTCAAACTCCCAGTTGAACAATTTGCACATTGGGCTTTTGTTATATAAGGATTATGTTTTTCCTGGACAAATTTTTTTGCACTGTCCCCTTATCATTGTCACTGAGTTTTTTTTTGTTTTTTTTAATATATTTTATTGATTTTACACAGAGAGGAATTGAGAGGGACAGAGAGTTAGAAATGTCGATAAAGAGAAACATCGACCAGCTGCCTCTTGCACACCCCCTACTGGGGATGTGCCTGCAACCAAGGTACATGCCCTTGACCAGAATCGAACCCGGGACCTTTCAGTCCACAGGCCGATGCTCTATCCACTGAACCAAACTGGTCCCGACTGTCACTCAGTTTTAATAAAGGAATCTTCTGAAGGAAAAAAAGTTACCATTGATGTAGTCACCTTATCCCTCCTCTTGCTCCAAGCTCAGCACTAGTGGCAGCTAACCTTGGCTTGCAGCTTAGGCTCTCCCAGACACCTTTAAGCCCAGCACAAGTGGCAACAACATATAAATCTCTTTGTAGGTCATACCAAGTGGCCCCAGGCAGAGCAATGGCAATGGATGATTTTTGGTTCCTCCCAAGAAGCCCCAGAATGAACATACTCAGTGGCCTGATTCAAACAACAGTAGAGCACCATCTTCACAAATGACACCACCAAAGGGTAGAGACTCAGATGCCACCAGAGCCCTGTTAAAGTGAATCCTGTTCCATGGGATCAGCTCCTCTACTATAATGAATGAGATGAACCCAAAGAGGCCCACACCAAAACATATCATAATTAAAATGACACAGTCAGGAAGATGGCTGTGACTAGAACGCTCCAGAATTGACCTTGAAGCAAGTAAGAAAGACGTTGAAAAATTTAACTGTCAAGTCAAGGAAAGAGACAACTTGGGAGGACCCAAGATGGCTGCTCAGGTAGACACCTAACCGCAGCAGCACACAACAATTTCAATGGAATACAACTAAAATGTAGAGTGGACATCGCCCAGAGCTACAGGTAGTCGACTGACTAAAAATTCTACAACAAGAAGGAAAGAGAAAACCAGAAGGAAAATCAGAGGAGCTGAAAAAAAGCCTAAGGTACGGAGACATGCTGCACGCGAGGAGAGGTCGCAGCCGGAGAGAAGGAGAGGGCTGGGTGCTGCCTGGCGTTCCCTAGCAGGAAGGAAATAAAACCCCCAGCCTGGGCTAAACCCCCGAACCGGCAGTGCTGAGCCCCAGTTATGAGCCAGACCCTGGGGACCCAGGCTCCGGTGGGGGAGATGGGGCTGTGAGGCGGAATCCCAAGCGAACAGCGAAAAGCAAGGCCCCCGGAGTCGCGCGCCCTTTGTGCGCAGAGGACTGAATGTTGACTCTGATGGATTACCCTAGCCGGAAGAAACAAAGCCTCCGGCGGAGCTGAGCCTCAGTCCGGACTGCTCTGAACCCCAGTCCTGGACTAGACCCTGGGGACCCAGGCTCGGGCAGGGGGAGACGGGGCTGTGAGGCAGAATCCCAGGGGAGTGGCGAAAAGCGGAGCCCCCAGAGTCGCGCACACTGTGCACAGAGGACAGTCTGTTGACTCTGATCCTAGACTCCCCTAGCGGGAAGGAGAAAAAAAAAAAGCTCCAGACTGGAGGAATGCGACAGGGAGCAGGAGCCGCTGCCGGGCACCAGGGCGGGCTGGGGGGTGCCCCCAAGCCATCGACCTCTGAGCACAGGCAACGGAGCCAAGGCCAGGGGCTGCTTCTTGGGCGGCGCCGACCCCGGCAGCAGGCTGGAGCAGCATGTGAGCCCGCGGAGAACAAAGGGGTGCCACAGGCCAACCTGCTGAGCTCCCAGGACAAGGAGGAAGAAACCAAAGTTCTCAATGTGAAAAAATCAAGTGAGAGCAAAAGATAGTAAAATTACTTAAGAATACAAAGAAGATCTTGAAAAATCAAAGACTAAGTCAGAACTCAACTCACCAGCCAACATTGCAACATAAATGCGTTTTAAAAAAAAAAGGACAGAATGTTGGAACAGCGGCGGCCAGGCCTAGAGTGCCCAGGCACAAAGCAATGGAAACCGGGCCCGGAGCAGCAACGGCCAGGCCCCAGAGCAGCAGCAGCCAGAACCAGAGCAACAACAGCCAGCACTGGAGCAGCCAGACCTGGGGCAGTGGCAGCCAGGCCTGAGGCAGAGGCAGCCAAGCCCAGGGTGGCCAGTCCAGGAATAACCAGACCCGGAGTGGCCAGACCCGGAGAAGCCGGGCCCAGAGCAGCCGGGTTGGGAGCAGCCAGGCCCAGAACAGCAGTAGCCAAGCCCGGAGCATCCAGGCTGGGAGCGGCCAGACTCGGAGCGGCCGGGCCCGGGGCAGCCGGGCCCAGAGCAGCCGGGTCTTGTGCGGCCAGGCCCGGAGCAGCGGCTGCCAGGGTGGGAGCGGCCATGCCTGGAGTAGCCGGGTCTAGTGCGGCCAGGCCCAAAGCAGCGATTGCCAGGCTGGGAGCGGCCAGGCTTGGAGCAGCGGCTGCCAGGCTGGGAGCAGCCATGCCCGGAGCAGCCGGGTCTGGTGTGGCCAGGCCCGGAGCAGCGGCTGCCAGGCTGGGAGCGGCCAGGCCCGGAGAAGCCGGGTCTGGTGCGGCCAGGCCCGGAGCAGCGGCTGCCAGGCTGGGAGCGGCCAGGCCCGGAGCAGCCGGGTCTGGTGCGGCCAGGCCCGGAGCAGCGGTTGCCAGGCTGGGAGCGGCCAGGCCTGGAGCAGCCGGGTCTGGTGTGGCCAGGCCCGGAGCAGCAGCAGCCAGGCTGGGAGCGGCCAGGCCTAGAGTGGCCGGGTCTGGAGCAGCTGGGTCGGGTGTGGCCAGGCCTGGAGCAGCAGCTGCCAGGCTGGGAGCGGCCAGGCCCGGAGCAGCGGCTGCCAGGCTGGGAGCGGCCAGGCCCGGAGCAGCCGGGTCTGGTGCGGCCAGGCCCGGAGCAGCGGCTGCCAGGCTGGGAGCGGCCAGGCCCGGAGCAGCCGGGTCTGGTGCGGCCAGGCCCGGAGCAGCGGCTGCCAGGCTGGGAGCGGCCAGGCTCAGAGCAGTGGCTGCCAGGCTGGGAGCAGCCATGCCCGGAGCAGCCGGGTCTGGTGCGGCCAGGCCCGGAGCAGCGGCTGCCAGGCTGGGAGCGGCCGGGCCCGGAGCAGTGGCTGCCAGGCTGGGAGCGGCCAGGCCCAGAGCAGCCGGGTCTGCTGCGGCCAGGCCCGGAGCAGCAACTGCCAGGCTGGGAGCGGCCAGGCCTGGAGCAGCCGGGCCCAGAGCAGCCGGGTCGGGAGCGACGGTGACCAGACCCGGAGCAGCTGGTTGTGGAATGAACCAGAACAACAGAGGCCAGGCCCGGAGCAGCCAGGCCCGGAACAGCTCGCTTCTCGCCTGCCCCTGCCCCACGGCTGCCTCTCAGACATGGCTGGAAACTTTTGTGGGAACTTGAGGGTCTGCTGAATCAAGTGAGGAAGGCTTAGATCTGGATGTGTTGAGTTAGTATAGGGCTGGGGTGTTGATCTGTGAGTGCCTTGGGTGGGGCCTGGATGAGGCTGGTTGACCTATTGTATTTGGAAATGTCTTTTGTGTGAAATGTATCATTGGGCATGTGGTGGTATTATTGATATGAGAAAATGCTAAGTAACTGATTTACTATCTGAAAAGGGATTTACTATCGGGGAAAGGGAGGGAGGAAGAGACTGAACATAAACTGCACCTATAAATGAGGACAATGGGGGATGGGGAGGGGGTGGAGGCAGGGGGTGGGAACCTGGTGGAGGGGGGAAGAAATGAGAAACCTTTGTAACAATATGAACAATAAAGATTGATTTAAAAAAAAATAAATAGATATACCTATACATAAAAACAAACACAAGGATGCAGCCAAAATGCAGAGACAAAGAAACATGTCACAAATGAAAGAACAGCATAAATCTCCAGAGAAATGGAAGCAAGAAAACTTCCAGATACAGAATTCAAAACAATGCTTAAAAGGAATTTTAAGGAACTTAATGAGAATATCAACAATATAAGAAAGGACCAATCAAAAATGAAGTGTAAACTAACTGAACTAAAGAACAACTTAAAGAAGATCAAAAGTAGAATAGGGGATGCTGAGAACCAAATAAAAGATTTGGAATATGAGATAGAAACAAAAAAATTAGAAAAAAGAAAAATAATCCAAAAATATGAACATAGTATAAGGAGCCTCTG